TTAACCACTAATCCACCACCACTGAAATAAACCAACCCTTCCTTCAGGAGCCTCACAGCCTCATTTTGACTCCAGCGTCTGCACGGTCCCCGGTGATAAACTCACAGTGACTTCAGAGCCGAGGCTTTTCGTCAAACAGCAATGGTTCTCCAGGACAATAACACACTGAGGTTGCAGCTCTCTCTGCAGGGAGGAGGGAGCCCTTCCGGCTGAATACAGAGGCGGACAGCCTGAAGGTCAGAGCGCAGTCCACGTCCAGCAGCCGCTTCCTTCACTCAGACCAGCGGACGCCCAGCTCTGTCACTATTACATGGTAACACAGCTATTAAACAGAGGATCATCCCTGCAGACTAACTACAGATGTGGAGGTCGTCACAACCCAAAAACTAAACTAAATTCACTTTACTGTAAAATGAGAAATTATTCTAGGGGCTTATCAAACCTTTCGAAAAAATATTTAAAAAACAATTAACTGTCCTATAAACTGCATTTTAACATCAGTGTCAGAGTGCCAGGGGTCAGAGGTCACTTTAAATCAGTACTTCTCAAATAGTGGGGCGGGCCCCCCTGGGGACATAGGGAGGTGCCGGGAGGGGGGGGCGGGGGGTTGCGAGGGTCTTCCAATGGAATATGCCAAGCTGGACATCAGTGTCACCACTGCTGTAATGCTAGAATGATAACAAGCCTCCAGCCACTAGGTGGCAGCAACTTATACAGTGGTTTGTACAGATAAAAATATACATGTTATCAGATTCTCAAATGAAGACTAGTCAATCATTTTTTGGACAGATCACATGCATGATAAAACTGTCATATGATTATACTTTCTTCAATTCCTGCAAATATCTCAGGGCTGTGAACAACTAAACGGGACAGGGTGTCATACGGAGTAAAGAATATGGGAGTAAATTAAAACTAGAAAATATTTCTATTATATTACATGTACTTTTTGTGAAATTTACATTAAGTGGTGCACCATGGGAATTTTTCCAATGTCAAATATTTGACATGACTCGATACATTTTAGCCTTTGCTCCAACATGAGGACCTGCTGTAGTTGGTTACAGGAGGTTTTGCCGACTTAAACTGATTGCCTAATAAAAACTGGGTTGTGACCCAGAGGCTCGGGGGGAAACTGTGGGTCGTTTGGGCCGATTATATGAGAACCACCAGTTTCAATTTACATGCCAAGAAATTGCAGTTGTATGCGTATGAAGCCACGTTCACAGGGACAGAGGTTTGAACCTGAACGCACCTTCATACTGGACACCTCTGAGCTGCAGAGTCTGTGACAAAGTCACTTCCTGTAAAATGGAAATCCACAGTGAAACAGAGCTCCTATGTATTATTCAAATGTAGTAGATGAGATCAGTCGTTGAACTACTGTCTACCTTCGGGCCTTTCTACAAACAGCCAGCTCATTGTTTTTTTTTTGTTTTTTTTTACAAAGTTATCCTTTTCATTTTCTATTTTTTGTTCTAATCAGATGATCTAACAACAAATGCACCTTCATTTCAGCACAAACCCACAGTCATCTCTGAATACGAAGAGAGCAGAGTGTCTTTTGTACCAGTCATCAGAGCTGATAAGGAACTTCACTGGAGTCAGACATAAAACAAGTATCTCGATAATCCACACAGGGATGGGGGTGGGGAGGGTGGAGTCCAGTCAAACCAACCGTCCAGAGGAGGACAGCTGCAGAGAAGAGCCATCGTTCACACAGGTGATGGACAGAGATGTCAGTGACCGCCGTAATTCAACTCCAACCTCGGCCAAATCTGACATTTAGACCAGCATAAAAATGTCACAACAGCTCCACGTTTGCCAAGTCAGCCCAAAAGTCATAAAGAATATGGAGCAAAGGGAGCGAAGAAGTGAGAGAAGAATGTAGCTAAAGGAGAGGACAAAAATAGCTTAAATTAGCATAAATGTATAGGTATGTAGTGATTGTTTAAGGTAGCAAATATGTTTATAAATATAAAAGAAAAACCTGACAGAGAGATATGAATTTAGCTTAAAGGCTAAAAAAAAGAGTTAGCTGAAAAAACTTATAGTGGCGCTTTGGCCCAGAGGCAATGTCTCTGTCATTGGTGTGGAACCCCAGGGTTCACCTCCTGGGCAAGAACGAATCCCGGTTAGGGCGGTTGGTACCTTCCAGTAGACTCACCACCTGCAGGAAGGTTCAGGGGGGTTTGTACGGTGCAGTTTGATTTGGGTGGAGGTCAGGGAGACTGCTGCCTCCGTGACCCGGTAACAGAAAAGCGGATGCAAATGGATGGATGGATGGAACTTAACTTACAATACAATCAAGTCGACAAATTTAGTCAAACTTACAATATGATTTTAGGTCAGAAACAGCTTAAAATTTGACAAAACAACTACCTAAACCTAAACAAGCTTCCAGTCACTAGGTGGCAGCAACTCATATAAATGATAATATAATAAGTAGTAGCATGTAAGACAACAGTTAACTGAAAAAACAACGTTTACATTTATGCTAGCAAAAATTGCTCAAAGTTAGCATCAAGATCTAGCAAACAAAGGACTAAAACTTAGCAAAATGGTTGAAGAGAATTCATCTGTTATGTCCAGCTTTATAATTAACAAAAACGGCATTAAAAAAGGCCATTACAATGAAATTTATTTATAAAATAGACAAATACATTTACTCGACGATCAATACAACGGACTTCAAACTCACTGCTCATTATTTCTCATCAAACATTCTACATCTGCATTTCTGTACTTAAAGAGAAATCACATACATTGATCGACATTTCCATTAAATACACATCAGCTGACGATAGAACCACTGTTAGCTGAAGAGGATGAAATTAGTGGCTCAATAAGTAACGCTAGGTCGCCAAAATGTCCCGGAGCAAAACTCAAGCCCTTATCTGTCGGCCATCCTGACACAACAAATACTGTAGAAACAGTTCTCACAACCTCTGAACATCCCAGCAGCAGCAGCAGAACTTTCACAGCTCTGGTCGGAGTGTTGGTTTAAAACTTAAAGTATTTCATACACGATAGAACTCACAAAGAAAAAAACATGCAAACCATGAAAATCATGTTAGTTTTACAAATTCATAATCAACACAAAACCGATCTTCAGACGCAATTTTCGTTAATAAGGTTCTTCCTCCGCATTTGAGTCGTGGTTGAAAACTAACTGTACCAAAACGTTCAAGAAATACAAACATAGATTTAAGGCCACTTTTGAATTGAAAAACAGTAACTACAACGGTGGTTCTCAAACTATGGTACATGTACCACTGATGGTACTTTGGCACCCACTAGAGGTGCTTGAGAGAATCTGATTCCCATTAAGATTGGGTGAGTCTCTTAGTTGTTAACTACATATAGTGTCTCTGTGTGTTTTTTAGCTAATAACAAACTGTACACTTCAGTTACTAGCCTAGCCAGAAAGTGCTAGCCTGTGCTCATGTATTTTAATTATGGTGATACTGGTCATACATGGAAGGATGATACAGTCAGAGGTGGTATGTGGTGTACAAAGTTTGAGAACCACGTAACTACACTCTGTCTGTGTACAAAGTTAGAGAACCACGTAACTACACTCTGTCTGTTGTCGTGACTCTGACCCTCGCTAAATATATCTCTACTGATAATGACAGATATTTACAGGAAGTAACAATTCAGAACTGTCCAAGTGCAGTAATGCTAATTTGTTGTCCTGGGGCCGTTCACTCAAGATGGTCCTCAGTCATCACCACATTTTCACTCAACTCATTTAAACATGGAGTTAAAGGTTCGTCCAATGATGAGTCTGCGAATTTCACTTGTGCCAGCGCCAATCTCGTACAGCTTCGCATCTCGCAGAAACCGTCCCATTGGGTAGTCGTTGATGTAGCCATTCCCACCTGTAGACGTGGGACACACGCCGAGAATCAGTGGTGACTCAAGTAGGAAGAACATTTTGGTTTTTCTGTTTTTTTTTATATAAATAATATATTTACTGGAGAACAACAGTGCATCATCAGTAAATAATATATGAAATCAGCAGTAGAGAGGAAGACGTCTGTTTGTCTTATTATGATGATGTTTAACAAAGTCAATAACTTTAGTCTTTTCTTACACTTCAACCACCAGGGGTGTGATTACTTCCCTGCCACCACTGCTACAGTACTGTGTACTGTGTACTGTGTACTGTATTTCCTCTAATACACCACTTCACTCAGTCTGCCCTGGATGATGGTCATGAATAATAAATAGTCTGCTTTCATGATGGAATTCATTTATATGTAGTTTATACAGAAACTGAAGGAGGGTGAGCGCTAACAGCAGGAAACTATTGCCCTTTATCTTGTGTTAACATATTATCATAATTATAGCCTATGTTGTTGAAACCCAGGTTAGCGATACCACTTATATATAAACAATACATGAAACGACCGAAATGTACAAAGATTACTCTTCAGAGCCGGACATTTTTATGGCGTTAGCCCTTAGATCTAGGACACGTGTCAAACTAAGGCCCGGGGGCCAAATCTGGCCCGCAGCGTTATTATATTTGACCCGCGAGATCATATCAAATGTGCACTAGAGTTGGCCTGTCAGTATATAGACCCTGTATATGTTTACGCAAAACTAAAGTTTGTATCCAATAAACATTAAGTTTGGCCTGACACGTAGTCTCAGTTTTTAATTCTGGCCCGATGTAAATTTGAGTTTGACACCTGTGATCTAGCACAACACCTTCTGTCTTTTCAGGTACTTCACTGGTGTGTACAGGCTGTGCGTGTGCCAAAACCTCCAATTTTCACAGCACTTACCCAAACACTGAATGCCATCCAAAGCAACCTGAGTAGCGTTCTCAGCACAATACAAGATGACTCCGGCACAGTCCTGCAGCAGCAACACAAATCAAGACACTGAGTCACTGAGTGTAGAGGTCAGAGCAAGAGAGAAAGTTTGGGAAAAAATAAAACAATAAACTTTGAATGATGTCAAAATACGGTGTTAACTTTTTCCCCACACTCTCATTAAACTGGTCGAGTTACAGTGACAGAATACATTAGCACAATGGAATAATAGAATTAACTACACAAACTTACACCTTCATTTGTCGAGAAGCCAACAAACACTTCATACTCACTTTTCAGTGCTAATAAAGGTGCGACTGTGTACTCAGTGATATGCAACACTGTGTAATACAACAGATCAACTGGAAAATTTAAACTATAAGACAAAACACATTATTTAAATAATTAAGGTATTCAGTAGGGACGTCAGATAATACCAGTTGACCGATATTATCGGCTTGATATTAGCATATTTTGTAATATTTGTAAGAATGATTATCGGTTTTTCCTCTGATAATTAAAACCCGATAACGCGATGCCTGGATTTTGCCAAATGATGTGTGCCCTAAAAATAGTTTTGGGGATTAACGGCTGTGTATTAACGTGAAAGTCACTGGATGGCAGCATTGCAGCTCATTTAATTAAAATTATCATACTTATACAGTGCTTTGTACAGATAAATAAATAAATATTATCAGGCCCTATTATCGGTATTGTTGGAATTGTAAATTGTAAATTTTAAAGTGTTTGGACATCATCGGCATATCGGATATCAGCAAAAAGTTAATATGGGACACCGCTAGTGTTTAGTTACAACTTTAGTTGTAGGGACACCCCTAGTGTTTAGTTACAACTTTAGTTGTAATTATTTTCTCACCATTGCACTGTAATGTCCTTTGTCACAGGCTCGGGCAACGTTGTACACGTACTGTCGACAGGAGCTCAGTCTGGTGTACATGTCGGCCATCTTTCCCTGCATCAGCTGTGACGTGTAAAACAGTATTAAGATTATTTCATTATTGTCATCATTATCATTATCATTTTTAATCTTAAATCCCAATTCCATATACATTTTCACCAGTGTTGATAGATAAAAAGTTCGGGCCAAACCTGAAAATGGCCAATCTTCTGACCGAAAGCTTCTCTGACATGAAGGTAAGGAATAGCAAAGTCCAGAACCGCCTGCATGATACTGGAAAAAAAACATTAAATATATGTTTACTTGAATATACTTGCAGGAATTGAAGAAAGACACAAATCTATTTTAACTCCCTTTCTTTCATTTTTACAGCCATCTGCTGCCATCTACTGGAAGAGAATGTAATCGTTCTACCCATCACTGTTGCAAGGACTAATAAAGACAAATCACTTGCAGTAAATAAATAATAGTTTTCAGAACAATTAAACAAATTGATTAAAAACAAATGTTTAGAAAGAGTGACATATCACATTAAACAAACAGTAGTTAATTATATAAATAATTCAGAACAGAGATTTATCCACATCACTCAACCACTGACTAACCTAATAATGGTAATCTGATTCCATCACATACCACTAGAGGGAGCTCAAATACTAATACTCATACAATTTGAGTACCACCTGCAACCACAGCTGATCCATGTGCTTTATATTTGATTATTTAGATGATGAACTCACCCGATTGGTCCAGATGAAAGCACCAGCCTCTCCAGGTCCAAACCACTCATCATCACATAAACACCTTTGTTGAGCGGACCGAGGACGTTTTCCTCTGTGACGAAACAAGAAAGAATTCAAATCTGTTTAAAAAAGGTGGCAAATCTAAGCCTAGCTCAAACAAGAAAGAATTCAAATGTGTTTCCAACTGTTAAAAAAAGGTGGCAAATCTAAGCCTAGCTTTAGACTCTCCTTCAAGAAAGTAATTTGGTTTCTGTGTAAGAACAAGAGATTATTTTTTGACAGAGGCCAGAAAAGGGTGGAACCAAACAGGAGGGGCGAGGGTTAAACCAAGCACTGATTTTAAAACAAACAAAATTGTTTTGTGAATCGATGTAATTATTCAGGTCATTATCTGCCGTTGACAATTCCAACACACCTGGGATTTTACAGTCTTCAAAGATCAGCTCACAGGTGTTGGATCCCCTCATGCCCAGTTTGTCGAGCTTCTGTGCTGTGGAGAATCCCGGCATTCCCTACGGATGACAGAGACATTGGGCTGCTGCAAAAACAGGAGCTGCTTTGATAGGATTTTGAATCTGAAAATTTAAAAACCCTGGGGCATTTGGTTGAATTTACCTTCTCCACTATAAAGGCAGTGATGCCTTTTTGGTAAGCTTCAGGGTTTGTCTTGGCATAAACGATGAGGACGTCGGCATCTGGACCGTTTGTGATCCAGAACTTGTTGCCGTTCAAAACATAATAGTCACCTGGGGAAGAAAAAACAAAACAAAAGGTCAAAACATAATAAATTATAAATGACCATAAGGCCATATTTTCCCCTTTGTTTTCATGCAAAGAAGTACAAGTATATTACAATAATTATGTTTATGTTTATTTACAATAAATATCCTGAACATAAAGCGTATAAGTGTATTTTTTTATTTTCAAAATTCATCAAGTGGCCCGGATTGAACACCCCAGTGAGCCGGTTTCGGTCCCCGGGCCGTATGTGTGACACCCCTGATGTAAACACACATTGTTACTCTAACATCAGACCAATTATCAGCAGCTGGTACTGTATTTACTGATCGTAGATAAAGGGGGAAAACTCACTGATGATCATACTGTGATGTTAATTTCACTCTGTCAAAGTCAATTATCACAGATGATGCACTCGTCCACCAACTACTGAAGCCGTACAAACACACACACACACACCTGAGTCTGCACAAAACTCCATCAAACTCCATCTATCATCAGTTTTTTTTCATCTTCTTATGTCGACTCCAACATTTTGTCCGGATGAATAAATAATTCGCAGAAATTCAAGTTTATTGACTTGCATTTATTTTTGTATCGGCTTCGAGCAACTCACTTACTTTAAGTCAACAACAAGAAAAGTGTTTTGGCTTCTACTCAGCCCAGACTGTCCCCTGGGAGCAGACATAAAGTGGGGAAAACGCAGAGTCAGATTTTCTGAATTAAATACAAAATGCTGACCTCATCAGATTAGGCTCTGCCAAAGCGGGACATCATCTGCATAGAGTTAGACCGTCCGACAAACTTTGAATTAAGATTTTTAAAAAGAGACTTTTTAAATCAAGCATTCCACCCATTTTGTTTGGAAAATCTTACACTCACAATTCAGGTTGAACCACTGAATTTGATGACATCACTGTAACGGCAGAAAAACCAGACAGCCAAAAAAAAATGACCCAGGTGAGATGAGGAGTCTGTTACTGACATGATGTTCTTTTAGATTTTACAGTAGATATTAGTAAAGGTGTAAATCTGTTACTCATGGCAACCAATCAGTTCAAAATGAACCTAACATAACACTGATTTAATGATGCATGATCATCAGCGTGCCAGATGTGTTTCTCAAAAATCAAACTGGTGTGTATTTGTATCAAACTTCATGTACCAACAGGCCCGGTAGGATTCCAATCGCATTAATGCGGTAGAAGCATTTCATATTGTTGGTTTCCTACCTTTTTTATTTGCTTTGAGTTTCATGGACACAACATCTGAACCAGAGTTGGGCTCACTCATGGCCAGAGCTCCAATGTGCTCTCCAGTCAGCAGCTGAAAACAAGGACAATAAAAAACATCACTGATGAACTAAAATGTACCTTTATACTGACGTTCTCTGCAACATGGTGAAAATAAAAAACAGCACTGATGAACTAAAACGTACCTTTATACTGACGTTCTCTGCAACAGTGAACACCATTTTGACTCTCACCTTCGGCATGTACTTCTCCTTCTGCTTCTCGTTTGCATGTCGCACCATCTGGTTGACACACAGGTTCGAGTGGGCGCCGTAACTGAGCGCGATGGCCGCCGACACTCGTGACATTTCCTCCATCACTATGACGTGGTCCAAGTAGCCCAACTCTGTACCACCGTATTCCGCTGTAGACCAATGTCACACAGTCAGTGTTAATTAATCCTCATTGAATAGTTCCTCATACAACAAACTGGAGAGTATAATGAAGTACACAAGTGTCCACAGTCGTACCTGGAGCAGTGATTCCAAGCAGCCCCATGTCGCCCAACTCTTTCCAAAATTTCTGAAGGAGAAAGAGTTAAAATATTACATCACAATGACAGAAATCTAACCTTGAGATCCGAGCGCTTTCTGAACTGTGCAACCAATTTACAGAACCACAGGTTCATTTTTCTACTTCTTAGTAACACATTTACTCACTCTCATTCCAGGGAACTCATTCGTCTTGTCAATTTCATTAGCATGAGGTGCCAGCTTTTCAGAAAAGAACCTCCGCACTGTCTGTCGGAGCTGCACAAAGACAACGTACAAAAAAAAGATAATGATAATGTAGCGCACTGTGTGTGTGTGTTTCTGTGGGACAAAAAAAAGAATTAAGTAAAGTTAAAGATTCACTTCCTTTTAAACCTTTTCAGGCTAGAAACTAAATGCCTTTGTTAGTGGTGTTGGACAACAACAATCAGTCAACTAATCAATATTTAATTGAAGGCTTGTTAACAGCTCTGATGGCAGTAGGTTCTTAATGTTTGTACAGTTAACAATTACAATTAACAGTTAACAACAACAACAAACAAATGATTAAGTTTGTCAATAAAAACATTTACTTTTAACCTTTAACAACTCCTCAGGAAATAGGCTTTAACAAACTACATTAATTAGAGAAGAACAAACAACAACTTAACTGTAACAAAATAAATACTAGTAAAAACAACATAATACTGAGAATAAAACGAGAAAAATTGTGCACATTTATCATAAAAGGAAAAGTAACAATAATTAGCTAAAGAGCCATCAACACAGAAGAAGGACATGTGCGGTTTATGCACTGTGGCATCTGAAATGCTACATCATACTTCTGTATTTTCCCTGCAATACCCACGTTCCCCAATAGATGGCGTAGAAAATGATAAAAGTATTTTAGCATTTGTGCATGACTTTTAAATGTCATTTATCTTAGCTCCATCTATCTGCTCCTGAGCCGACCCCACTGTTCAATTTTAGGACAATTGTGGCCCGCGAGTCAAAGGTTTGCCCACGTCCGTTCTATAGGCAGGTGGAAATCCCATCACTGTACCACTCAATGTTATTATTTTTTTAAATAAGGGCTGACTTTGGAAAGCTATTAGCTAAGTCAATGTGCAGTGTTTGGAGTGTAGTGTTTGTATGTCTTGTTTTCTACTTTTGCAATTGTTTTGAGACCAACTTGTGTGAATTCTGGGTTGGTTATTTTTAGAAAGCCCAATAGTGTTTTATATTTGATACTCTGTTGTAAATAACTGTGTATGTGTTATGTGTGTATATTGTTTGTAGTAGGTAGGTAGGTTTCCTCCATCACTCAATAGTTTAGTCGCACTAAATTACGTTTTAGCAAAATGTTATTGCAACAAACGGTACCTCTGCTGCTACTGTGGACATGAAACTGAGGTCAGCAGCTAAATGTTATATAATGTTTATATTTTCTTTCAGTATCACTTTGTGCATTGAGATGTTTTATACTGCTAGAACTTGAAACTAATATTCTGTAATGTAACCAGCTGTCAAAGAGCAACGTCTTTAAACAATGTATAACAATGACAGAACGGCAGACAGCGTCGTCCAATCACATCCCTTGTGAGAACCCCACCTCCTGCTGCTTTAATGTTGACCTTCCATTTATTTTTCATTCAACATGTAAGTAAGTAAAGTGGACAGTACAGTGACAGACGATAACCTTTCACCCAATACTGGAGTCTTCATTTCCAGGGGTCACTGTTGCTAAAGGTTAACGCTGCTCCATATATTATATTTTTATATCCGAAAATAAAAACACTAAATTAATGTGCCAACAGTCCTTAGAGAAAAGAATAAAAACCCCAGGCCGAACAATAATGGCCTGTCAGACGACAAATGTGTTTGCATTAAAATGAAAACCTAACAGCTGACGGCTAGATGTTTGCTAATGTTACGTCACTACATGCATCATGTTGTTACTCAAAAGACTGCTTTATTCCCTATTATTATTCCGAAAATGTTTCTCCATAATCTCAAACCTGCAGATAAAACATTTAGTTTATTTGAACAGCATTGTTCCTAGCTCTTGTCAAACCTGTATTTGCTCGTCTGTGAGTCCGTTCACCACGTCGTCCACCGGGACTCCAGCTCCCGCACATCCTCTCCGCGACACCGCGGAGATTGAGAGCCTGGAGCCACGGCGGAGAAGATTCCTGACTGCAAACATAACGCCTTTTTACACCAAAGAAAATAAACAAACGTGGCTTCGGATTACAGTGATCTAAACATGAGTCAAATAGTGACCCGCAAGGACTGTACTTTCCTAAAGCAAGGAGGGATTGAAATAAGCGGATATGACGTCAAGTACGGCGCGTAGTTTCTTCTTTTTCTTTTTTCAACAAACCGGAAACTTTATTTCTTACCAAGAAGGTTCCGACTTAACAGAGAGTTCTTTACGTTTCAAAGTTTCAGGCGTTCTAGTGTTACAAATTCAATTACATGGGCCAAATGAGAGTATGTATGAATGCACTTAATAACAATTACAACTACACGAAAGTGATAAGCACTTTTATTTTGAATGGGCACGTGGAATATATTTTCAGTAAGTTTTCTCCATCCGCCTTCATTAGTCCATTAAAACGCTCACTGATAATCGTTGTAATTGCAATGCATTTTTTAAATTCTATTTTTCAAAATTAATAGTCCCAAAATGAGCATGCTAAAGGTAGGTAGGTTTTAGTGGTCCATTTTCACAACACTGGCCTTTTGTATAATTCTGTCACGTAAATACACAGTCAATAGAACATTGTCTTGTTATAAACATCTCTTATTTAACTTATTTAACATTCTGACTGCATGTAATTTTCATAACTGTCACTAGATGGCTGTAATATGACAATAATGTTCAAAGGCTGTTCACGTGGATATGAACTTCTTTTTACCGTGTCAATCCAATTACAGGGGAAATATTTTTTCCCCAAGGCGAAATATAATTAGTTTCTAATTAGCAAACCCCATGAAACTTTAAATATTTTTAAAAAGTGTTTTAAGCAAGTCGAGTAGGCCACAGGTCACACTGGTTTGTCTCCAGGTTTCATGGCTCATGTAAATAATTAATATATGAGTGAAGATTGGTGGGTAACTAAATATATTGTGGTCCAGTGGATTTTCCCTGTTGAATAGCTAATTTAAGATTGATCTTTTTAGACAGTGAACCTCCTTTTTTCATTTTTAATTTGTTGGCTAGTAGGTAAAACAGTTATTGACAGCATGAGTCATGAGTCAGACTTAGTAAAGTAGTGTATAATAAATATGGAAGTTCACACAATATCTGTGCTTAGGTTGTTAGATTTGTATTAGTATCTGCGCATCAACGCCACCTCCTGGTTTATTGAAATAAAGCAATATTTAAAATTACTACTATAATACGTTGTATAATCCCTGCTCTAAATCTGCAGCATCTTCCAGGTTCAGACGCACGTCTGTTCAAACTGCATGTTTTTGGTAGGAATAACGTTGTTTGTGTCGTAACAGAAACATAACATTTCGTTGTCGAATTTACAAAGAGGAAGTGGGAGATAATGCGGAAGATAATAAACCCATGTACACTTGGTGCGCGAAAGCCGCGTCGATCAGCAGCAGCAGCAGCAGCAGCAGCAGCAGCAGACAGGGGTTCCCCTCACTCAGGCGTCGGATCGAGCGGACAGAGGAGTTACAAGTTTGCGATAACAGAGAGAAAAGGGCAGAAAAAGCATCTGCAAGACTGACTCCAAGATCGTCTGAACTTTAGCGGACGTGAAATGTCCAGATTTACAGAGTGAGGCGCCAACGACCCTCGCTCTTGGAGGCGCACCCTCAGGACAGACACGCGTCTCAAATGCCTAAAGAGCAAAGAAGAAGAACCTCTAAGGACCTCGGAGTCAGTGCTGGAACTGCACTGAACGAGTGGCCCCGCTCGGAGAGACGCACAGACTCCCAGAGGTCCGCCCATATCTGCAATGAACTCCTTCAAAAAGCCGCTCAGGTCTCGCCTATTGTGATGGATGCGCTCCGTGTACCGCAGGTCACCATCACCCCGGAGGGAGGAGGCACCTCCAGGGAGATGCAGCAGGAGGACTGGGGCGGCGAGGTGGATGGAAGTCTACGGAGGAAACTGTCCAACTCCTCCATCTCCTCCACGGGCTCCTCGGCCGTGGAGTCCGAAGACGACTTACTCAGCGACAACGAGAGCAAAAGCAAAGGGATCGTCACGTTGGAGCATCTGGTGGACCCTGGAGAGGTGAGTGGACAGCGACGGCTCGGGCTGTCGTGTGTTTGTTTCTATTTAAAACATGTGTAACATCTAGAGTTGGCTCCTGTAAAGGTACCATAGGTCGAGCAAACCAGATATCTGGACCGGAGTTGTCCACTTAGTTATGTCCTATGAAATCGGTACTAAACTGACTCCAGGATAAACAGAACTAACCTGCAGCCTTGATTCCACATATGAGCAGTTCGATTCACATTTCTCGACATTTGTGCGAAGATATAACAATTATTTCTGTTAGATTTCCTTGTTTTCTGTCCTGTTCTTTTGTCCCATCTACCCGTGAGCATTTTCAAACCCCACTGTATATGCAACGCTGAGTATAAAGCACAGGAAATCCTACTGTCCTCACAAAAAAAGGTACTTAGTCGTTGAAAGAGTTTCCAAAGTCTTTCACTTCACCGAAATATTCAGTTTCGATGTACAAGGTGAAACCAACAAGAAGAAGCTGTAGAGAAACTTCATGGATCTAGACAGGGAAGTCAGGGAAGAACTGAAACATGGTGTTATTTTGTTGTTGTTTTTTTTTGTGTTTTTTTTTTTGTGTTGGGGACAGTACATTTGGAAAACACCACAGGTCGTTTCCATCAACTCATGTTAGAGTTTTAGTTGAACCTTATTTGAATTCACATGCTGCGTGTTCTGTCAGGTTTCTCCTCAGAATTTAAATGTCAATTTGGACAAGAGTTCAACTACGAGACTTAAATATTAACATATTACTAATTGTTTGTTGATTGTTAAAATCCTTCAAGGCTACACAAATATCTGCAGTGGTAACACGTGAAATGAGGAATAGAATATTTTTGGCTATGAGTATATTGACTCTCACAATACATCAAACAGATGTGGTGCACATAGATATATGTACGTATTTTCCGCATACAGAATTTCTAGCAAATTGATCAATTGATGTGAATCAATAAAAGTAAACAGCAATGCTACAAATGTTTATTGTCTTGCTGTTAGCAAGTGAGTTGAGCAGGTTATAAAAATGACACCTATGTGTCTTCAAAGTCACTGACTTTTGGTTTAAAAGTTCCAAACCCCCTTGGTATTCCTCTAAAGTTTATTGTTCCATAACAACTAAATATAACTGCTCTTAAAGCTGGAATGTATTGTTTGTTTTAAGAAACCCTGATAAGAATAATTAATAATTGAGTTCCTTATTAATCCCACAATGGGGAAATTTACAGCCTGAGTCCTTGCAACAGCCACAGGCTGCCACAGGAGGCGCCATCAAGTACGTGTATCTTACATCAAAGATGAACTCTCCAGCTATTCATGCCTTTATGCCTGTAAATGTTGTCACTTTACCCCAAGACATCAGGAGCTAGTTTGCTATTTTGCCATTGGCAAGTAAGCTTAACATGAAGGCAAACAAGTACGATATTACTTGTGTCGTTACTGATGATCCACACGAGAACTCGTTTTCCTGCCGTTGGCAAGCAGGAAGAGTTTAAGCTTGTCCACCGTGGTGTTTCTGTCAAGAATGACCGTACTTCCTGGAAAATGTGTCTGAAGAAGTGAATGAAATGTTGGACCGACATGTAAATACTAGTTAATTCCGACACTTTTAAATCCTGACCTTTAGTGCCGGGCCTCTCGCCTACAGCACACACCCGCTGCCGCTGAAGGATCGGCTTTTAGCTGAAGCGACGCCACATTCGCTTTCTCTGTTTGCATTTGGCGTTCTCCGCTGCTACGTTCTAACCCTAACCCTGCTACGCTGGCCTCAAAACAAAAGCATGAACGTGCGCTTGAATGCACTGATTCATAATGACATGAAGAAAGTCTCACTGGTCCGTCACTGACATGTGCAGAACAATGTTTGTTTTTGGCAGTTAGAGGATTTACACAACCGTCGTGGCTCAATGTGAGTTGAAGGGAAGTTGAGTGTGATGTCAGTGAGTCAGTTAGCATAGTTTCGGTAGTCCACCACATAATCAGGCTTTCTCCTCTGAGCTGTCAGCACATTGGATTCTCATTGGGTTTCGACTCCAGAGCGTGTGTGAGATCACCTTCTCCTTACATGGTCTGAAGCTGTCACCTCAGCTGAAACAGACTGAGTACATATTGCGTGTTAATTCATTGTGTTCACACTGTGTGTTTATACAAGAAAGTGCGACTGAACTCTTTAAAAACACTGCTCTCTCTCCCAGCTCCCTCCCTCTCTCTATCTCCACCAGGCCCTGACGTTTGAACCAGAATGATGTTGTTTGTGTTGCAAAAAGGGACTTTCACACCTCTGCCCTTTCAGCCAACACATACGCACACAAGGACAGCCACACACACACACACACACACCCACAGATCTGTTGGCAATTTAGCCTCGGCTTTTGACATTTCAAAAAACATGAAGTCAAATCAGCAGTTTGCGTCACAAACCAGAATTCCGTGCTGTGTGACTCCGTGTAAACCAGTGAGACGTTCTCCTTTGGATTCCTCCTTAAAATAATGTCAACTGTTTTGACTTTAAGAAATTGTAACAATTACACTGACCAGTGGTTCCAAAATAGATCAGAAGTGCCACCGGTGGCACTTGGGGCTCCATCTATTAGTATGCATCGGAATATTTTTTTATGACAGTGATAAAAACCACAGGCTAATAATAAATAAATCAAAGTCAATATCAGAAAATAACCTTGAAAACTTGGTCTTGTTGATCACGCCCCACCAGTCTGTCCCGCTCCACACTTGAAAAATCACCGTCTCAGGTCTGTCATCACTGAACTACACTGTAGCTGTAGTCCTGCTGGTGATGCTTGGACAGAGAAGGTGTAAAAAAAACCCCACAGATATAAATATACCAATGAATACATTGTACACAAGTGCATTTGAATTAGGACATAAGACGTGACGTCCAATCAGAGAAGTCCTTTTTCTACCATTGTTGTGGACAACAGCAGGGTCAGGAAAGACTGTGGACATCTTGGACTTGAGACACATATTTTTAGTCCAACTTTAACTGAATGTAATGTATTATATGATAACTTTTAGTTAATAGTTACTGGATGTTGTGTTATTATGTTTTAACTAATTCAGCCATGGGCAAACTAAGGCCCGGGGGCCGGATGCGGCCAGTTCAGCTTTTTAATCCGGCCCACCAAACTTCTCCAAATTATATAATTTAATTATATTCTCATTATACTTTTGCCTTTTGCAAAACCCACGTTTTCACCCAATAGATGGCGTCGAAAATGATAAACTGCAAAACCCACGTTTCACCCAATTGATGGCGTCGAAAATGATAAAAGCATCTTAGCATTTTAGCCTTTATTCATGACTTTTACAAGTCATTTATCTTAGTTCACATGAACGCTCCATCTCTCTGCTCCTGACCCTGTTCAATTTTAAGTCTTTTAAGAATTGTCTGCGAGTCAAAAAATTGACTTTTGTTGCTTTTCATTGATTTTTAATTCATATTCTTTTCACTGTTTTACTCCATGTATTTCTCAGCTTTTCCCGTGTGTGTGTGAATAAATGTGTACATGTGCCATGTCTGTATGGAAACCGTGACAGTATATGCTGTCAGTGAAGTTGGATTGATAGTTCGATTTAATAAGTGCACAAACGCCTGCGACACATTAGCGTCTATGACCTGCCTTGTCACCGACTCCTCCTGAAGAGAACAAGAAAAACAGAAATAAAAAGAACCAAAACCAGTCACGGTGTAAAAGACATGATGAATCTCCGTGGCTGAATATCACTGGCCTGCAGCCATAAAGCCAGGGTTTGCTGTGAAAACACAGCACCTCCATAATGAGGTATCATCAGTAAACATTAGCGCTGAGAAACACAAAGTACTTGACATTTAAGGCTGACTCAGCCGACCACTGGGCATTTCTGCTTTTGTGAGAACCGTGAGCCACTTAAGCATGAGCCGAGTGCAATCACACACACCTACGCAAACACACACACACGCACGCAGACACACACACACACACACACAGGTCCCTCTTTCATTTCCTGTTTTTTTTTTTTGGTCAAAACACACACACACACACACACACACCATGTCGCCACCTTCTTCAAGGCTGGTGAAGACTCACCGCGGTTTATTTACTGGGGTCGTTCTTCCATCACAGCAGGTGTTGAGTGTGTGTTGAGACACAACTCTCTCATGAAGTAACAGACACTGGATTGTGTCATGATGTAGTGCTGTAATCTTGGTAAATCTGCAAACGGTTATTGGGTCTGTCACACCCCCCCCCCCGCCGCCCGCTCCCCTAACACACACACACAAATATTTACATGAACAAAAGAGCAAAAATATTTGGTTTGCAAACATTTAAAAACATTCAAATACATTCCAAGTCTGATTTGCAATGTCACCTTTGTGTTGTTGAAATGTTTGAATCTGTTTAATTTTTAATACAAATATACATTAATATATATTAGGGCTGATTCATATTTAAAATGTTTAAACAACTTAATGTTTGTGTGTTTGTTTAGTATGTGTATATATATATATATATACACATATACATGTACTGTATGTATGTATGTAAGATTCTAAAAGTATTGTTCACACCATTATCTCACCATGAAGACTCTAGATGTAAAGTACAGATATAAGTTTCCACAGAAACAGCATTTTCTTGACCTAGATCGGCCGCTTCTCACCGTGGAATAAAACAGAAGTCTGGCTTTAGACTAAATGGGTAAAACTGAACCACCAGTGACTTTGAATATAGAAAATGCTAAAATAACTGGACATTAAAGGCTAACAACATAATACGTTTAATTAAACCTGCCTTAAAAACTACAACTAGATAAAAGTTAAGTTAGCCTAAAAATGTGTAAAAACTTAACCAACAGAAAATGCTTAATGAAATGAAATGATCTGCCATGATTGGTCCTTCAGGTGAACTTTGATTCCTGGTATAATTATCTCGGTTTAAATACTTCTGTTTCTGTTTCTCTTCTGTTTTCTTGCACGTCCTCTGCAGACCAAGCCTTGGTGGAAGCTGAAGACTGTAGTTCACTGGCCCTTCAGTGCAACCCAGAGAAGAAAACTGAACTGGGTTCAGCTCGCGGGTCATAAAGGTACTGTATGGTTTGCTGAGGTCAAGTCTTGTGGTGGTCAGACTGGGTCCAAACAGCAGGTGTGCCACTAAAGGATCTTGACCACTGTGTGATCTCAGGTAACTTCAAAGCAGCAGACGAGGGCACCATCCTGAAGAAGTTCTCTGAAAATGAGATGCAGTGTTTCGAGAAGCTGAAGGAAGACGCGCTGCTTCCCTTTGTCCCGGGCTATCATGGAGTGGTGGAAAAAGACGAGGATTATTATCTCCATATGACGGACCTGCTGGTGAACTTTGACCATCCCAATGTCATGGACTGTAAGATGGGAGTGAGGTAAGAAAGGACAAGAGTTCTGTTACTGGGTGATTTATTTATTACTTAAGTAAGTACTTGTAGAACTAGCTAGCTAGCTAATATTTTTTTAGTCAATTTTTAGCCATTTCTTGCTAACCTATAATCATAATCCAACAGTGTAACAATATTTTATAAGCAATAATATTTTTTTCATTTATATATTCCATCATGACTATCATTTAGACTTTGTTCTATAGATGAATTTTGGGTGGTTTCTGTTTATTTTGCCACCTTTTGCTGTCCAATAACTTTTAGCTTTTTTAAAGACAAGGATGTTGTGTTTACTACAAGAACTCAGCTGCACTGACCGGACTTTAAGAAGCTAGGCCTAAGCTGAGGGCTAACTAGTGTATGTTAAGTTATTATTAAAGTTACTATGTAGTGTAATAATGGATATTCAACATTGAACCTAATCAGAAGGTGATGGTAAAAATATTTTGACTTCAGGGCTTTAGCATTAGCCTGATTGTCATTTGATCTGTATTGTTTTGGTTTTTTTGTTGCTACCAACTCTCGTGCTGAACACCTGTTGTAACTGCAGGCTACAATACGTGCTTAACTTCCTGCCATGGGCCTCTTCCATCCCGTGTACAGTCACATGAAATAACATGTACACACACACACACACACACACACAAATCACATACACTCCATGCATAAACACATTGCCACACCCAGAACCATGCATTCAACCCACAGACTTGTCACATTAAAAACTACTTTGTTATCCAGTTACACTCAGTGTGTGTCTGCAGTAGTTTAAGCAGTGTGTACTAGATACACACATAGTACACGCTAAGGGTGTCCCTGGAGACTCCCCTTTGTCAAAAACAATTGACCGCAAAGTCGCAAAACCGCTTACTTGCACAAAGAGTTACTTTCGCACAGATGAACGCTGCACACAGGAGTCTCCTCTCAGCTTCTCCTTTTCAGCACAGAGGAAGTTGAACTCGCAAACTGAAACTGAAATACACATCTGCTGTTGGCACAGAAATGCCCTGTTTGAGCGCGTTGTGTCGAAGCGTGCCGCTGGGTTGTAAATCAGAAGATAAAAACTGACGCAGCAGCTTTGTCAACGTGTGACCTTTCATCTGACCTTTATTCATTTGATATGCTGTAATGTTTTTGATAAACTAGCAACTTTGTTTGAGTTAGCATCACCAGTTGTAAGAGTTGGCAGCAGTAACGTTCGGTCAGGGATGCCCAGAAACACGGATTAGTCATGTTGGCCGCTTGCGTAACCGCTGTAATAACTTGGGTGTGAGCTTCAGAACAAATAACCTTTTGCAATTATTTACATGAAAGCTGGGCAAACACACAGCTCCTGTTTTTTAAAGGATTGTACTCTCCTGATGTTCCAGGACGTACCTGGAGGAGGAGCTTGTTCGAGCACGAGAACGGCCCAAACCCAGGGAGGACCTGTACAGAAAAATGACGGAGGTGGACAGTGCCGGACCGACTCCCCAGGAGCATTCACAACAGGGTGTCACCAAGCCTCGATACATGCAGTGGAGGGAAACCATGAGCTCCACCAACACCTTGGGCTTCAGGATAGAGGGGATCAAGGTACGAGCAGGGACCAGTAACCCTGCAGTGAACCTGATGAAAAATAGAAAAACCAAATTCATACCAGGACTACATTTGATCCATACATGGACACCTTTGTACTTGTTAGCGTAGCCTTCTTTAGTTATTAGTCACAAAGTTTCATTCGGTTTGGTATAGTCTCTTGTGTTTACAGGAATGGGAGTAGAGACAATTTTTTTTTTTTCTCAGGACGACCTGAGAGACCAACAAACCCAACCAATAAAGGCAACAATTACCAGCCAATCAGACGACACTGCTAACACACAAACTTGTCATTTACATTTGAGACATGACACCAGGAGTTCACCTAAATAAACAGCCACACCTTGTTAACAAACATAAAACGGCAAATATCTGAACAAGCCTAAAGCTGTTAATAAAAGTATGGCAGTTTTGTGTCCAAAACCGCCCCCTACAGCCTAAATACTGCACCACATAAGGGGCATGGCATTTTGAGGTGGCGTCCGAGTGAGTAGAAGTCGTCCACTATATAGGGCACTCAGTGTATCCCACAATGCACCGTGAAATGTAGCGTAGATCCTATGTACACTACCAAACAATATATCCCATCATGCATTGCAGTCATGACGAAATGGCGGCGAGAGGAACAGTTTCCGTCCATACATCAATTTTACTAATGAAACAGTGATGAGGTCATTAACTGTGCACTGAGTTTGGGCCAAAACGTTGAGTCCACTGTATCGTGTGCTACATATAACTGCCAACAGAGGGAGTAGAGAATCGGGGAGTCAGTGAGTTTGTAGGTTTGTACCATATGGGTTATTTCATACCAGCTTCTGTATGTTAGCGTTGTGTGCATCAATAGTAAATACGGCTGTTCCCACCTTTTAACATCACAGAGTTAGTTTTCCTGCTATGAGTAAAAGTGTGAACGGAATTACTTTTTCTGTAAAGAGAAACTGAATATATGTAGAAACCTCAGAAACTTTTCACTGAATCATGCAGTACTTTGAACCTAAAGCCCAATATCTCTGAGTAAATAGAAACCTTATCATTAAATGTACTCTTAGGACAAGAAAATGTAAAAAATGTTTCAACTTCACCGCCATAAATACTCTTGAAAATACCTCTCCTCTACAGTAATCTCATAGTTTCCTAGTTTTTCACAATCCACCATACAATGACTATTTGTCCAAATGCTGAGCTAAGAAGCTGAGTAAACGCTAACCGCTAAGCTAACAGCTAAGCTAAATACAGCCACTCTTTGCAAAGTTTTATTTTTAAACAGTAAGTGAGCAACAAACGGCTTAACAAAGGAACTGACGTGTGTACAGTCTGAAGTAAACCAGTAAACGTGGTGACGGTACAACAACTTCTATAGAAATGGTGTGAACAGCTAACAACATTAGCATCTTCTAGGTCACACTACAGGAAATCAACAACAACTGAAAGCAAGAAGTGGGAACTTACACACAAAAGTAACAGTGACCTGGGAAGGAGGGACAAAAGAAAATGACAACACACACGTGTATATACACACAGACAGACACACACACAGAGACACACACAGAGAGACACAGACAGAGACACAGACAGAGACACAGACAGGTGCAGGTGATTTGAGTGAGGAAAAACAATCAGAGAGACAGGAAACGTGACAGAACTTGAGGGGTAAATGCACCCGCCATAATAAAGCAGGAAGTGAAGTCTTTGTTGTGTGAAGTGTTCAAAGACGCTCAACCAAAACGAGCCACTCAGCCATTTTATGTCATTCGGTGGCATTTAATAAGTCACTTTATTAAGTATTCATTTTATCAAGATCCTTTTAGCCTCGTTCCTGAACAATGTCACTGAAGTGCTGCCTTCCTGTCCCTGGGAGACGAGCCCTCTGAGCGAGACCGCCGTCTGTAGCTGCTGCCACAGCACGCAGTCTTCCAGGAATCGTGCTCATTCTGGCCAAACCCTGCGCTGAACACAATCCCACAAATAATTACAGTAAAAGCTGCATTTCTCTACTGGCGTTCCATCGATCTCCGACCACTAAATCCTGTTCAGGCTGGAGAGTGAGGGAGAGGTGGAGGGAAGGAGGTGGGGGAGAGGTGGAGGGAAGGAGGTGAGGGAGAGGTGGAGGGAAGGAGGTGAGGGAGAGGGGGTGTAGCTCCAGACAATCTGATGAGTAGTGTGTTTTTATTTTGAAATTTTTGTAGAAGTTTATTTATATAATATTTTATCCATCTTTTTTTTCCCTCAGAAATATGACGGCACATGTCGAACTGACTTCAAGAAAACCAGATCCAAGCAGGATGTTATCCAGGTGTTCACAGACTTTGTGGAAGGAAACGTTAACGTCATAGTGAGTGGCATAAAGTCACCACACACACACACACACACACACACACACGCACACACAAACACGCACATCGAAACACAGATACACGTACAGTGTGGGAACAGACAGAAACCACAAAAACGAGGTGTCATCTGATGTAATTGTTTGGAACTTCATAAATAGTATTAGCAGTTAGCAGTTAGCAGTTAGCATTTCTTCAACAGGAAAAATCCGGTTGTTTGTGCGATAAGTTTGTCCAAACAATAGTTGAATCGAAAGCAACTGGACAAAGTAGGTTTGTCCAGTTGCTTTTGATGTAACTATTTTTTGATTAAACGACCTGGTTGACTGAGAACCTACACAGACATGTGATGAGTTTGAACTTCACGGCTGTTACTGATGTAACTCCAGCCACACAGCACAGAGCAAATACATACACTATGTCATTAATGGCGGCGCTGCCAGAATACACACTGCGACAACACCCTTGTTGATATTTAATGAAACGCCGTCGACTGTTGTTTCTCTTCAAACACAGAAGTCCTACCTGAGCAGACTGTCAGAGATCCGACGGGCCCTGAAGGCATCGGAGTTCTTCAAGCGGCACGAGGTGAAAACTCGGCTTCAGATGGAAAAAAACAACATTTTGAATTTCACAGTTGGTGTTTCAAAATAACAGCGTGACAAATGAGTTTGTTATCTCACTGATTGGTCATGGGAGGAGGTAATCTACGTTCACTTCCACCATGTTCTAAAATCTTCAGCCACAGATTCAGCCTCCAGTGTAGCATGTGACATGCTAACCATTAACCATGATGTTCAGCCATTTTGGAACCCCTTAGCATAAATATGATACTGTATGATTTGAGTGACTTCAGGTCTATTTATGCATTGTTTTAGTCCTGCTTTGACACTTTACTGTCATTTATAGCTATTATAAGCTAATTCTAGGGCTTTCCTTACCAAGAGTTCTTTTAATAATAACATTTAAAGCCTCTGTTATGGGTATCGCCCGAGCATTTTGGACGGAAGAAATTGAAAATCAAAGGTTCTGTACATGCCTACAAAAAGTTATTTTTCTTTTAAATCTGGATTTAAAACAATTTTTTGGGGGGGTTTGTAATATATCTAGTTAATGGACCTTCTGTAATTAAAAATGTGATTTGTTACTGACAGGTGATCGGCAGCTCACTCCTCTTCATCCATGATCACACTGGAGCCGCAGACGTCTGGATGATTGACTTTGGGAAGACCACAGCGCTACCAGAGGGCCAGGTGTTGAACCACAATATTCCCTGGCAGGAAGGCAACAGGGAGGACGGCTACCTGTGGGGTCTGCACAATCTCATCAGCACACTGGAGTCCGTGAGCAGCGATGGCTACGGCCAAGATACCAAAGAAAACACCGAAACACCGACAGAACCAGTTGGTCAGTGACCCCTCACACAAGACTTAACCTACTTTAAAACTATATATTGGGTAAATTTACTTTATGGGAAAATATTTCTGGACGGACAGCACAGAGTTGCATTTTTAAACACCAAACGTGCCATTAGGGATCCAGCAAACAAAAACAAATAGTGCCGATTCAGAAGTAAATGGAAGCCCAGTAGAAAAATTACAAACATTTTGTTTGTAAAATAAATGAAGTCAATGATGTCAGACGTTTTAATTGTTGTAAATATGATCGCATTTAGAAGAAAATAGATGATTATGAGCAAAAGGAAACACATTTTAGCACATTTAAGAAAGCTAATCACACCAGGAGCTAATACTTGGGTCTTCTCTGTTCTTTGCAATGTTTAATTTGGTGAAGAGGAGGATGAAGGTCTAAACATTTTGGTAGGTCTGAGTGGATGTTGTGAAAGTGGGAGTGGCATCTACATTTTCTACTGCAACGCCATCTAGTGAACTGTTGAACGTGGGAGTGAATTTCATGCTACTACTCACATTGAATGTTTACCACTAAATTCCTACGACCAAGTTATCTTTCTAACTGTGCAACCTGTGCCCGGTACTTGCTTTTCGGTGCAACCAGCCTCTTATTAACCAGCTGTCAATCACAGCTGCTGAGAAACCGACTTTATCTTCCAATTTCCTCTTAATAGGATCGTAGCTTAAGAAAACATACATTTCTGTCAAAGGGCTGAAACTCATATTTATAACCAAATATAAATATTTTTAGAATGACGGTTTAATATGAATGGAGCATACGTAATATATAATTAATTAAATTAAAATGATCAATTTGAGACATAATTCGTAATCCAACATACGTAATATTTTATTAATGTAATATTAAATTACAATTATCAATTTGAGACATAATTCGTAATCCAGAACAATAGTAGTGCACCTGCAGCTTCACTTCTGCTTCTGGCTGATTTCTTTCATTTCCTATGTACTGTCTACAAATATGATAAACACATCTCTTTCTCAGAAAAAAAAAAAAGGAAAACACTATTTAAATTGATTGTAAATATTAGTCATTGACACCTGTAACTGATCAAACTTAGTCCAATGAGATGAACACATCCTGATTTATTTTGGGTACAGTTGGGTTAGAGTAAAGTATGCAAACTGTATATTGCATAGAGAGTGCCTTGCATTGTAGGTTGAGGGCATAAAACCCTCAGCCACTTTGAGTGAAATGAAATTTTGTGAAAACAAATAAAATAAAAGTACTTTGAGCGAGACCAGGTTGATTTTTTTTTCTGTGTGAAAAATAAAGGCTGCAGAAATCACACGTCACATTTCTCAAAGAAGAGTTCAGTGCTTTTAAATGAGCTGTGGAGCGTCAGAGGAGAACAGTGATATTACAGTAAGTACAGCAGTAAATGGAGAAAAGTAATCTCTCAACACGTTCGAGGAGCAGACGTAATAAGTTGATTAAATAGGAATAATAAAAAAAAAATCAAACAGTTGGATAGCTGCAGCGCTCAACACCTCCCCCTGCTGAGCGGACAGCGACAGCAGCAGCTGCAGCGCTGAGTATCCAATGGCAGTGATCAACTACAAGTACACGTACATTCATCACAAATAAAATACATTGATTTAAAAAAAAAAAAAATCAAGTTCAGTGTAAATACTCACCACATGTAAAGGATTAGTCCAGTGTCAGGATGTCAGTACAAAAATAGCAATTTCACAGCTGCATGGTCATCATAAAAATCAAAACATCTATGAAACATCTTGGTAGTCAAGGAAACAATATTAGTACACGGAGTAAGAGGATTAAGGAAAAAATATAATATTAAGAGTCAATTAGGATTAGGCTCTGTGGGGAAAAAATATTTTCCTACAAAAAGGTTCACTCTCATCTCTAAAACGTTAAACACTTAAACCAAACATTACATAAGTACTCCTTGTGGCAAAACTTAGTGAATGGAACAGTATTGTATTTTGAAATTTTAATAATTGCCATGAAGTTGAGATTCTTAAAAGTGTAAAATATCTTGTCTAAAAGGCTTTTTTGTACTGATTTGTCAGTGGGCTGAATATACTGCTTCACCTTTTAACAAATAACTTCTCGTGTTAATGTCCGATATTGCCGATATGCAGATATTGTCCAAATACTTATTTTCTTATTCCGTTATCAACCAATACCGATATAGGAATGCTAATATTTATTTATTTATCTGTATGAGGATAATTAAATGAGCCGCAATGCTGCCATCTAGTGACTTTCATTTTAATAAACAGCCGTTTATCTGCAATACTTTTAGGCCACATCATTCGTGGAAACACCTGCATTGCGTTATCGGGTTTTCCTTACTGGAGGAAAAATTGCTAATGCTAATATCGGCTGATAATATCAGACATCACTAATCACTATATACATAAATATATATATATATATATATATATATATATATATATATATATATATTCTCACAAAAACACTCTTAGTCCTGCATTATGTCAAAGACATCAGCTACATATGGTGCCTTTAAGGTCACGGAACAGAAACAAGCAGGATTACAGCCTAATCCAATTTAAGGCAACAACAAGGCAAACTAGTAAACTAAAAACTTTAAAAATAAAGTAGTCTGTAAACACCACACAAGTAGACAAACACTGACAACACCTCACGTCGCAAAATTGGTCTGCTACAATGAACTGTGGGTCTTTGGGTGTGGGCCACATCTGTTATTCATGATAGGAGCTAATTGAAATTTACAGAAGGTTTTTTCAGTACCTGCACATTAGATGTGGGCCACAGTCAGGTCAGTAATGGACTGTGTTTGGTGGGTCAGGTGACCTGTTTTGGTTACATTGGTGTAACCAATAAAAATATTACTGTGGTAGATTTGGTGAATGGGTTTTCGCATTACTTGGGATTTATAAAATTCAAATTCACATTTCTAACATAATATAACTCAGCCGGTCCATCGATGTGGGCCATATCTGGCAAAGCTTCAGTACTGTTGACGTCATCTGACCCAGACAAAGATGGCTGCCTAAATTGTTTCTCAAAATCTGCGTGTATATATATTTAATATGTGGCTCACAATTAGGGCTTGTTATATTTGAAGCCCACTTTTGGCTGAGAAGTAACAATGCTGTGGTCAGTTTGTGGCTCAGATCGGGATCAGACCACTTCACTCCATATGTAAACCATGAGATCGTGTCTTATGTTTCAGACATTTCTGATCACAATCGAGCAAAAATACTGTTTTTGTTCTTTTCACTGTGGAGACACAGGATCCTAAACAGCGTTTTCTTTTATAATGAATCATTTATAACGGAGCTCAAACTGCAGTGAAGCCCTTATGTCCATGCTAGAAATTCAGAGATAAAATATTATATTGGCAAGAAAAAAAAAAGTCTCCAGTAGACGTTATAGTAGAAGAAGTCAAATCTATCCAGTGTTTCAGATGGGAGTCACACTGAGGTCTTCAGACAGAGAAAAGCCTGAGTCTCGGTCACGTGTGGGTTTCTCAGCTTTGGTGTGTCTCTTCACGTCCTCGTGGCCGTAGCTGGCGTGGCGCTTCAGCAGCAGTTTGGGCACGCAGGATGAGGACGTGAGGAAGCCTAATCCCAGACTCGTCCCGGAGGAGACACTCGGCACTGAGCGGGTGTTTGTGATCGCCTCTGAGGGTTTGGGGTTCACCACGGGCAGACTCTCCGCAACGTAGCTCTGGTCGTCGTAGGCGTAGTTGACTTTTCCACAGGGGAAACTCTGAAGCTTGGCCAGGTCTATGGCTCCTTTGCTGGCTCCACCTGGTGGGTTCTTGTTCTGGGCAGCCTGAAGCTGGCAGGAGGGAGATGAAGCAGAGGAACTGCAGAGGTTTGAGGACCCAGGGTGGGTGCTGTTGGTGCTGTTGGTGCTGTTGGTGCTGTTGGTGCTGTTGGTGCTGTTGGTGCTGTTGGTGCTGTTGGTGCTGTTGGTGCTGTTGGTGCTGTTGCTCTCTCTCTCTACCGTTGGGCTGCAGAGCGGATTCGTCGTGGAGGAAGCGGAGCTGGACAGAGGCATGGACTGAGTGTGAGCCAGTGTTTTCTTCCCTCTGAAGTTTTCCAAAACCCAGGAGCCGTAGGTCGGGTTCCACAGGTTCTTCGTGTTGTTCTTCAGCCTCTGGCTCCCTGCGGAGGAGCTGTTTCTGGAGCAGGGTCTGTGGTGCGGTGGCTCAGCGTGGTGCCAGTGGCCTCCTGCTGTTGCTGACACACCAGCAGCTGAAACGGCGTTTGCCCAAGGCTGCTGCAGCACCTCGTGGCACGACGTCACCTCATGGTGGACAGGTGGGATTCTCTGAAGGAGTAGCTGAGGTTTGGTGGGTTGGTGTGGGAGGTGCAGAGGAGGACACAGGTCCAGGGAGGTGGGGGAATCCTGAGACACAGGGTGAGAGGACATGAGCGGAGTCAGGCTGGTGGAGGTGTGATCGGAGGAACGGATCAGTGTGCCGCCATCCTCTTCTGTGTTAGGACCGTACTCCACTGGCAGAGGTGTGTTGATGACATCAGGGTCCTGAGAAGAATACACGTTTGTTAGTACAGGACAGGAAAAAGGATATAGATAAAGAAAGAGTATGGAGTGTTAGAGTGTCCACCTGAGTACAGTAGTTAATTCTCTCCAGAATAGTGGAGAAGTTGGGCCGGTGCTCAGGACAGTGCTGCCAACACTGGGTCATGATCCGATATCTGTACAACACAACACAGAGTCCATAGAAAAGGTCAGATGGTTTTATAGAAACCTGGTCATTTAAACAGACTGTTGAGACTGTCTCACTGTACTCCGTCACTGCATTAAAGACTGATGTACGTCGACAGGGTTTAAAATGTATAAGTATCAGAATGTCGGACAAATGCACAGCATATATATACTTATATAAACACACACACGTATATATACTGTATAACGGTATATATGTATATATATGTATGTATACATATATATACACACATACATATATACACAGTATATATTTATATGTTTACATATACTATATGTATGTATATAGACACACATAAATATATACAAAAAAATATATATAAATGTAATTTATATATATATTTATATACAAATATATATATAAATCTATTAAATATATATAAAAATAAAACAAAATATAATCAAAGAAGCAGTTTAGGTGTCCTCTAACCAGACTTTTTTTTTTAATAAACCTGGACTGTGACAGAACCCAGTGCTAACACAGATAAACCCAATCAGGCTAAGACCATTCCAGCTCTCTGCCTGCATCAACATCCTGGCTCACAGAATAAAAAGCTTCATTCTCACTGTACCAGTGCTGCTTGTCACTGCATTAAAGACTGATGTACGTCCTCTCAGTACTCACACTGGTCCAGGGCAGCCCTTAGGAGGATCCATCCTCCCACCACTGGTGACAAACTCCAGGACCTCCTGGTTGGTTTTACATGGGTATGGCATGTAGCCCAGAGAAAGGATTTCCCACAGCAGTACTCCAAACGACCTGCAGGGGGAGACAGAGATCGACCACTGACTCACTTTGAATTACTGACAGATAAAGACAGGCCTTGCCAAAGCCAGAGTGATTGCACACCACAACACTGCCAAAAACTATAAACAACAAACCCCGCCCCCTGAATTCAACACATTTGGGTCTAAGAATAAACCTGAATAAATCTCTAGACTTTGTCTGTTCTAATCCCTGACAAATGGAACTGTTTGTTGCCTACAGCAGAAGACTGATCAGTAGTTACAGATTTTCTAATCATGGCCAGACCGGAATCCACTTCCAGAAGTTTCTGCATGACTCATAATGGCCCTGTTTTCAAAGAAACCAGCAGGTCTCACATCACACAAACTAAATCAATGTATTAATATACTTTTTTGTTTATTTGAGTGAGAATTGTATTTCAAGGACAAACGACTTTTTTCCAACCTTGTCCCTTAGTTCTAACTGAAACCATCGTCAAGCCTCAGACGTCCGACCCTCACAGATGGTGTAGGGAGATGAGACATTAGAACAGTAATACTACTGTCTTCGTTAACCAATCAATCCAATCCGAGAAACTGAATTATTAGAGTCAAATTCATTTAGGGCCATTCCCCAGGCTCTGGTGTATGGAGTTTGAATGTTCTTCCTGTCTCTGGGTGTAGACGAGATACTGTATGATCGCAAGTCGTTTTCAAAAAGTCCCAGTCAAGTCTCGAGTCTCTGTGCACTGATTCCAAGTCAGATCTAAAGTCTGTGTGAATCAGTCCTAATCAACCCCATGAACATCTTCAGGATAGCAGTGTCGTTGTGCTCTGTGTTCCTACCAGGTGTCAGTCTTGCAGGTAAAGATTCCCTCCATGAAGGCCTCTGGTGGCATCCATTTGACTGGCAGCATGGCACCTCCTCCTTTCCTGTAATAACTGGCTCTGGGAGGAGAAAATCACTTGTTATCAGATTTAGGAAATGAGTTTCAAAGACGGGACAAAAAAAAACCCAACAACTTCTATTGACAAAACAAACCTTTGAAACTCATCCCATATTTTCTACATTTACCAAATGCTGTCACAACACAGGATCCCAGAAGATCCATTTTCATAAACCACCCAGAGTGCTTTGCTACTCAGGAGGGCCACAGAGGTAAAAACGTAGCATCCAAACCTGTAAATATCTCTTGCCATTCCAAAATCTCCAATTTTAGCCACTCTGTCTGGTCCAGGGCAGGTGAGCAGGCAGTTTCTGGCAGCGATGTCTCTGAAAAAGTTTGGTAGATGTTACAATATGATGACAGTGACAAAACAGTTCCGTGTTGTTCAGATTGTCACCTCTGGGATGGCAGCTCATCTCTGATTGTCTGAATTTTTGATCTACATAGCGTCACACCCTGGTGATCTTTCTTTATTTAACACCTACGTCCGTTTCTTATATATCGTCTACTCTGTCTCAGTATAAGTGTGAAAACAACATTATATCTCGTGCTAAGCCAGTATTTCTCAAATAGTGGGGCGGACCCCCCTGGGGGGGCACGTTGATGTGCTGGGGGGGTCATCAGGGTCTTCCAATGGAATATGGCACACTCGGGGGGGTCATGATGGGCTTCCAATGGAATATGGCACACTAGATATAAGTGTACCACTGCTGTAATGCTTGAATGATAACAAGCCTCCAGTCACTAGGTGGCAGCAACTCATACAGTGGTTTGTACAGATAAAAATATACATGTTATCAGGGGTTCTCAATAGTATTTCAAATTAAAGGGGGGGGGGTTCTTGGAATGGGGGGGTGTGATAACATTTCTACGTACATACAGAACCTTCACTCTACCAGGGTCAGGTCACGTTGCCTTCAAAAAGCAGCTGGGATGATTCAGTAACTCTTAGATTTACGTTCGTTGCTAAAGTGCAACTTGTGTTGTAAATCTGAACCTGTGTATGAAGTGGTTCTCCTCCAAGTAGCGGCAGCCGCAGGCGATGTCTCTGGCCATCTGCAGCAGCTCCCCCATGGTCAGTGAAGAACTCTGAGCCTAGACAGTACACACACACACAGCTGCATTACTATCACGCACAGAAACACACACACTCACACTTCTGCAGGTGTACGGGGGAAAAAGACGTGTGGACTTACCGCTCGTGGCCTGTTGTGTCTCAGGAAGCTCTTCATGTCTCCCCCGGTCATCAGCTCCAGGAGGATGAAACGTGGTAAGATGTTCAGACTGACGCCAACGCAGCGCACGATGTTCTCATGGCTGAACTTGCTGAAATTGTGGGAAACGACCACAGTTAGCATTTGTTTGTCGAATTTTTCTTTTAGACATAACAAAGAATCAGAAATTTAGCACAACAGCGGTCAGACATGGTAGAAAAGGTGGCTATATTTTGGCTAACGGTTGTTACTAAGTTCGTTAAGGTTGTATTTTTCTGACTGCTACTTGGTGATCTGAATCTCAATCTCAATCTGAATTAATCTGTTTCTCTAAAAATCTGGTGACTTGAGCCTTTTCGAAATATACTCTACAGTAGGGACTCTCAAAGTGTGGTGCGCAAACCCCCGAGTTGTCCAAGCTGCCACTAGGAGGGTGTTTTTGTACTGTATTTTCCAGATGGATTTTTTTTAAATTTTATTTTGACCAATGAATCAAGGAACCTGCTTCCATTTTATGTACAGTAAATAAGTGGTTTGATGTCCCACTGGTTTCAGTCAATTCTAAGTTGCTGGATCTGCGCGGTGCGTCCTTCACCTGTTCTACTCTGGAACACTACATATTAGAATCCCACTTATTGTAAATATGCTCTTTCTACAACTTTTTCCAAGAACCTGTACATGCACTACATTACATATGGTGTTATTTAAGTGGGCAACCTACAGTGCTGTGGTTAGGCAGAGTGCACTGCTGCAGTGAAGTGTACCTCATTATCAGAGCTTCCATCAGGAAATCCATTTCGTCTTGCTCTGAACAAATTTCTGGAAGAGTCTGTGCAAAACGATCAGAAAAAAAAATAGTTAAAATCAAACAACAACAAAAAATCAGTAGAAATTTCAAATTTGACATGTAGTGAAATATGATAGCTCAAACAACAACAAAAAAAATCAGCAGAAATATCAAAATTTGACATGTAGTGAAATATGATAGATATGGAAATGTTTTACATTTACAGGATGACCTTTACACCAGGAGCATCTCTTTAGGAGTGGATGTACAGATAATGAATAAAACACTAAGAGGTGGACTGCTATCCAGTGGCATTGAAGGGCAACATGTTCTCTCTCGAGTCTCCCGGAGTGTGACCTTACTTTAATGGCCACCTGCATGGGACCATTATCAGCGGTCATCCCCAGAACTTGTCCTTCGTAGACTTCACCAAATGCACCGTGGCCAAGAGCTCTGAAAAACCAACATTCAAGGTGTAATCATCAGCATAGAGTCGCATCTCACTACGTTTTGGCCTGAATGCTGATGATTCAGAGGGCACAGTTGTCCTACCTGAGAAGTGTGATGTTTTTGCGCGGCACTTCCTTCAGTTCACTGAGCGATGCGGCCTTCCCCGCAAAGCAGTAGTTGGGGTTGTAGTCCGTCATGATGGTGGACGAGCGGATCTTGCTCAGCTTATATTCTGGGCTCTGCAGACGACCCCTCACTGCGTGCAAGTCATTCTTTCTGCGGTACCACACTGTTGACAAAGACGTCACAGATGTGCAGTCAGGTTAGTCTTCTTCTCAAAGGTATATAGAAAAACAACCAATCACAACAACTCAACGCTGGCATATCAGGGTTAGGGTCACAATACACAGAAACAGTAACTAAAGGAGGGAACCGACTGAAGTTTTACAGATTCTTTACTTTCACTGACAGTTCTGATGAACAGTTATCATCATAACAGTTACACACATTTGAACAGTGATGTATTCTCCAAAACAAACTCCACCAACTCGACATCACACTCTGAACAAATTAAAAACTGGTTCTTAACATTTTCAAAGTCATGACTACGGATGTAACAATGAATCGGGGATTGATTAAAAATTGCGGCCTGTTCAACTTTTTAATCCGGCCTGTGAAACCTTTACAAGTTATATAATTTATGTATATTATTGTTATACTTCTTCCCTGCAATACCCACATTTCCCCAATAGATGGCATAGAGAATGATAAAAGCATATTAACTTTCCACTGGTCTCAACGTCGACCACAAAGAAAGCCAAAGGAGGGGATTATAGAAAAAGAAAGAAACTGTGTATTTTTACTGAAATATCATTTTTCAAAACTGTAAAGAATCCTGTAGTGATTCCAAATGATCTCCTCAACCCCAAGGTTGAGAACCACTGTTCTAACAAAGATCACCAAAGCAGGCACAGCACAGGCCTATTTCCCACTCACTGACTGTGCGGCTCTACCATACAGTGACCATACAGAGTCTGATTTGGTCCTGTGCACAGACTGTGATGCACAGCCATGTCTGACTTGGTCCTGTGCACAGACTGTGATGCACAAAATGGGTGGAGTTCAGTTTTTCCAAAAGACATTTTTGTCGGACGCACCATACTGTCCACTCCTCCTTTACTGCTCCTGAGACTGTCAGTGCCAGTGAGTTAGGACTCACCCGCCATGGAGGCAGCTCATGTCTCCGATGCAGGTTGGTAGTCTGCCAGGGAGGGGGGGTGTTGCGTGCAGGTAAGAGGTGTCGTCGAGCCATCGCCCGGTGCAGATGCTAGGTGCTCATGGGGTGAGGGACGGAGGAGGGTGGATATGAGGGGTTAAGGAAAGGGGTCGTGGGAGCAGGGGTGCAGGGGAGGAAGGGAAGAGGAGATGGGGTGCCCAGCAAACAGACTACCTCCCTGCATGGGGGAGAGCTCAGGTGAAGAGACACTGTTAACCCAGAGAGCACGTCTTTGTGTGTTGCTGCCTTTATTGTGATCATTAACAAGTAGTCATGCTGTTCATGGTCAGGCTGTACTCTGAGAGCTGCTAACAAGTAACAAGGACAGTGTTGTAGTAGTTCTTTATGAACGCAGGCTAGAAATTCTACCTGGATGGAGACCATGCTCAAAATATCATCACAAGTTCACTGTAACATGAACCGGTTGACTACACCACACCAGTGAAGGTTTCTTTTTCCGTCAGTCATTTTTTGTAAACTCCACATCAATTCTGAAACTACAGTAAAATCAATAGAGGGAAACAAATATGTGACAGTACTGGCCTGTGCGACATTAGCCTTTCTAACCTCGAAGTCAAACAAGAAAAAAAAAATCACCTAAAGTTTGTCTTGTTTTGCAACTGCAGGGAACATTCTTAAACTGCTAGGACAGAAAGACACATTTATTTTTATTCCAACTAACAGAACTCAATGACTTTGAATAAAACTTGCAGGTTTGTTTTATTAGCACAAAGTAAATGTTGGTATTATGCAAATTTAGTACTAAATTTAATTACGTATATTCACAGAATAGTACACAATACAGGTAGTAGTGTAAATGGCCGCATTAATAACCTTCGGCATTAAAAAGAGCATTAAAAAGTTCTGATCAGGATAAAATACTTGCTAATGTAATACTTTACGATAATGTATGGTGTCATGCAGTTACACTCTCTGCTCTTCTCATATAATCCACTAATCTAGTCCTAATGTCAAAGGATCGGGGCCGAGGACCTGGACCTGCTCTTCTTCCAAAAGCCAACTGTTCTTTTTCAATTTTAACGGCAGCTGGAGTCTCAACAATCTTACCTGGAAACATTTGAATCATTTAGAGAAAATCTCATCACAACATCATCTCCAGGCAAAATCCATTAGAAATCCGAACACAGGTGATGTTTTTTCAAAGAGAGATCGTTTTGTACTTTTCTGGATAACGGACCTCACGACGTTACATATAGTATATGTATATATACACACGTATGTAAATATATGTGCACATATATATTTACATGTATATATATATATATATACACACACATATGCAAGTATATAGTGTATGTATGTATGTATGCGTACATATATGTATATGTATGCTTATGCATGCTTTTGCAAACATACATTCTGTATACATATATATAAATATATGTATATACATACATCTATTTTTTCCCCCAGAAAAACACATTCTCTGATGGCATATGTTTCTTTAAAATAAATGATAAATTGTAAACAATGGCTGTTCGCCATAATCAATTTTAAAGAAAATATTTTTCTGCTTCTGCTTCAGGCTAGTGTTATGTTAACATGACCCCTACACGCCACATGCAATATATATA